AAGAAATTGCAGAAATTAATTTCTCCTTCTTTGTTGCGCTTTGTTTCTGACATCGTTTTACTAATCTGTAAAAAATTGAGATATGCTTTAACTGTATCTATGTTTAACAGTTGACCACAACTTCTTTGTTTATTTTAAAAGTTTTTAAAAATTGTAAAAAAAAACTTTCTATCTGCTAAATTTTAGACAGCAATTTTTGGATGGCAAAAAAAAAAAAAGTTGTACCTAGAAGATGAAATTTTGTTTATGAATTCGTTTATTCTACAAAAACAGCTGCTTTTTGTAGAGCCAAATATTTCTGTACCCAATCAAGCTTTCTCAGATTTAGCTCAATACATTTGTTTACAAAAATTGTAAAAATTTTTTGAAAAAAGAATTTTCCAGAATGTTTTCTCTAGTCTTTTTTTTTGTTGTATACATATTTTTTTGAACAAAATACAGTAGTTGAGAAAATAATAGAAAAAGTCTGGAGCTCCAAATTCAAATGCAACGGAGTTTTAGTATTGTTCCTTTCAATTGTTCTCAACAATACCCGTCAAAAAGTAATGCATATAGCGCTAAAAACCAAAAAAATTTGTTAAATTTTTAGCTTTGTAACAGCAAAAAAACTGTTTCTTATCTTCAGTTATCATTTACTGTTTCATACGATAATTGTCCCCCCTATTTCAGTATACAGCATTGCAATTTGCTGCCTATGGTGGTCATAGTGAAATTGTACGCTACCTATGTGACTGCGAATGGAGTTCAAAAAAAACTGACATGGTAAAACTTTTGCTAAAGTATTTCTGAGCGTATTCAAAGACTAATTTTTGTACAAAACTTGCATCTAATATTAACAAACTTTTGCTTCAACAAGAAAAAAAAAAAAGGTGCAATTTCTTGGACAAGTAGAATACTGTCTTAGCTGCTCTTTGCTCTTTGCTTTGTCATTGTCAAAGTGTTTTTTAAACAAAGTTTTACTGATAAAGAAAATTTATACTGAAAAAAAGTTGCATTAATACTTTTAATCGTATCAGCTAAAAACATAAACTCAGTGAAGTCAACTCCTGTATTACTTTGGTTGAAAGGTACCAACTTTACACCGTTAGTCATCAGTTCCCAGTGATCAAAAAAAAAAAAAAAAAAAAGAAAAATTATTATTAATAGAAGTCACCTTAGACTTTGAAATGACAAATTGCCAACTATAATAATGCCCATTTTTTGCTGATTTTTTTTTTAAAGCATTTCTTTATTTGTAGTTCTAATTTTGATTTTACTAATTTTCTAAAAGTGTTTTTTTTTTTTTTGTTAAAAGATTAATTTTCTTTGGAATTTTTCATTAAACTGTAATATCCATTTGTTTGTGCAGAAAATTTGTTGCCATATGCCACGGTCGAAGATTTTACGTCGTTACAACAAAAGAAAAAAGAAAACAATTTTTAAGTTTTTGAAACAGTTTCGCTGATAATTTGGTCCACGTTGAAGCGTTTTACAAATAACTTTTTCATCGCAAATATAGTCATAAAATTTGTGTACCATACGCACCTCCAACAACAGTTTTCTGTAATGGAAATCTGAAAATGTTTGTTAAGTTGAAATATTTTTCAGAAGAAGGCTCTCGAAATTGCTCAAAATAATTTGCGCACTTCTGTAGCAGAGTTTCTCGCGGTTAAATGCCAATCGAAGTGATTATTCCTCAAATTTTCAACCTTTTTTCACTGGTTATTTTTGAAAAATTTGGTAAGAATTATATCGCTTAATAACGGCCTCTTTGCAAGCAATTCTTATCATTTTAATTCAATATTATTATTATTTTGTATTTTTTCATGGAAAATCAAAGTATTACTCGCTTTGGTGCTTCACTTTACTCTAGATTTGTTCAAAAGAAAATGGGTTATCCAGAAAATCTTTACAAGCTTTGAGAATAGAAAAAACAGAGGCAGTTAATGCCGTGAAGAATTTGTTTCTTCAAAGAAATTTACGTTGCACCGTTCATTTTTTTCTGTTCGTTCGTGACAACGGCTTTTTATTTTTGAATACTAATTGATATTAAAAAATTAGCTTCTTGTGATGTGAATTTATAATGTTTTATATTGATTTATAAAATGTCGTCTGTGACTGTTGATGATTTCAAAAAGAAAAAAAAAAAAGGTAAAAATGTATCCTGTAATATTTCTTCCTTCATTCATTTAATCAAACAATTTTTTTTTAGTCACTTCAGCTGATAAAAAATACTTTGTCGCCATTAAACTTGTTCACAAATAGCCAATTTTGATTTTGAAAATTTTTTTTCACCTAAAACTTTTAATCTGCAAATAAATGTATTTTTATTGGAAAAATTCTTTACTGCAGTTCCAATCACCAAAAAACTGATCGGCTAGTCAATTTGAGCAGCGAATACAAAAAAAAAAAATCCTCTCTCAAAAAAATGTTCTTTTTCAACAACGTCGGCTATAGCATTTCAGTTGCATAGCTTTTTAAAATTATTTTTTCATACTGTTCAAAATAATTGAAGTTCTTAGCGCTTCTTACTTTCCCCCTTATTTCTTCTTTACTCTCTAAATAATCCTTCATTTTTTGGCACCTAAAATTTACTTTTTGCTTCATAGCATGACAAAACTTTTGCAAACAGCTCAATTTGATGACATCATCAAGATGCTCTTTTCAGCACTTCATGTAAGTGAAAATCTATTTGCAATACTGAGGCATGAAAAGTGGTCTGAAGTGGATGAAGATCATAAATTTTATGGCTAAATCCGCATTGCAAATAAACAAAAATAATTAGAGGTAAAGTTCTAGACACTGATGCAGCGGAACAGGCAATAATTTGGCTGAAAATGGCCAGACAGTTCCTTTACAAACCACGTTTGCTATGGATAGTTGGCTAAAAAACCACCAAAGCAGCGTTCCAACAGCTCATCATATTCAGACGCCTGACGACTGACCATTTTGACACCTGATCTAACAACTGACATCCTAACACATGTGAAGGGGGAAGAAAGGGAATAAAAGACGTTAGAAAATCGTCTTTTTCGAAAACAATAATAACTAAGCATTATTGGTATGCTGCAACTGAGCAAGACGTCAGCTATCCCTTGTCTTAAACCTCCTCTCTCGTCCAGCGCATGTAACGCGCAAAACTTGATTCCTTATTATAAGAGTTCCATCAACACCAGTCATGCACCTGCGCAACTGAAACTATGACAAATTACTTACAAGGCAAGTTGAAATACAAATTCCACACATCATTTCCTCACAAAAGTTAAAAAAAAATAATAAATTAATGACACAAATAAAACTGCGCAAAGTCGCGCCAGACAGTAGACACCAAGCAAAATACTATAATCTCTTTGCAGATTCTACCGCTGTATTGCCTGGCACAAAACCGGCTCTTCAAGCTAAAGATTTAACCTGGCAATCGAGAGCAAACGCTATGAACCATTAACTTTCAAAAGAAGTTTAAAGTAAATATAGTTGGCCTAATTCCTAAGACACCTGTTCAGCTAAATGTCACTCGTGTAGATTACGCCTCATGCAGACCAAGATAATTTGATTTCGTTTTCTAACGTCCATCGTTTTCAAAGTTTTGATATCGTCTCCTTCCGCAACAGCCCCATCATATACGTATTATAGAAATTTCATTCATATAAACGTTGACTTTTCAATACGCACCCACATCTGCCCATAAGGGTGATGAATGAAAAAGGTTAACATTGCGGGAGAAAACAGGCGAATTCAAAGCCGATCAAAAATTTAATACGCTCAAACAGCTCTGAAACAAAAATTCCCCCCCCCCCCC